CCTCCCCCCTTTACGAACGTTACGGGGGTGACTCAAGAAACCATATCTACCCATCCTTCGTCGCCAAACATTCCGTCTTGAGGCCGCGTCTGCGATGGGCGGATGCGTTGAACGCGCAAGTTGCCTTCGTCGGCTGTCTCCCCATGACCTGCGTGGTCTCGTGTGCACGACGTGCCCCTCATGGGGGCGAATCCAGTTGCAGGAGCAGGTGCGCAGACTTCCTGATTCCTGTTCCTGCTCCATCGCCGCCACAGCTGGACTCGCCCCGGAACTATGGTCAGAATGCGCGCCAGGAGACATCTGGGGAGTAGAGGTATTGATAACTTCTTGCCCCCCAGTCGCCGTCGTCGCCGCCGCCGCCGTCGTCGTTCGTCGTGGCCGCTCCTGCTTGCTCTGCCAAACGCCCAGGCGCCAACTCGCCAAGTCTACCTGCCCCTCATAGCTGACCGCGTCGTGCCCCAGGCCGCCGCGACCAGCAGCACAAATGATTTCAGAGGTGGCTTTGGCCCAAGGTAGCCCCAGCGTTTCCCTTGGCATCGCTCGGGCGTGTGCGTTTTTTTCGGCAAGGGCTATCGAGGAGCATGTCGGCACTTTGCGGATAATACTCACACGAAGCCGAACAGTGCACGGGAATGGGCGTCCGAGCGATGGCGAGTCCCCGGAGGACCCCTCTCACGAGGTCCAGAACACACTGCGGCGGGAACAAGGATGGCGCGCGAAACTGGGATGGGGTTACCTCGGCCCTGTGTCGCCACTGGCAACATGCGAGGCGTGGTCTCCGTCGTCGCCGTCTTCGTCGATGCCATCACCGTCGCCGTGGTGGTCCCCGCGTTGGTGGCCGTTCCAGTCGTGGTCGTTGTCTTCGTCGTCGTCGTCGTTGTCGTCCCTCCTCTTCATTGCCTCCTGCTGCAGGTTCCCCTCACTCTCCCTCCTCGGCCTCCTCCTCTCCCTCCTCTTCGTCCTCCTTCCGTCCCCCTGCTGTTTCTCCTCCTCTTCCTCCTCCTCCTCCTCCTCATCTTTTGCCTGTTTCTGCTCCCCGTTCTCTTTTGCTGTGTATCCTCGCCTTCCGTTGGTGCTGCTCCCTCTTCTTCGCCTCGAGGAGGAGGAGAAGACGGAGGAGGAGGAGAAGACGGAGGAGGAGGAGGAGGAGGAGGAGGAGGAGGAGGAGGAGGAGGAGGAGGAGGAGAGCAGCGGAGGCGACCTGGAGCAGAGGGCGAAGGGCAAGGGGAGGGAGGAGCGGGGGAGGTGGTCAGGGGGGTGGGAGACGGAGGGAGGAGGGAAGGGCGAGGAGGGAGGGCCCCATCCCTCTCCCGTAGGGGGAAAGACAAGACAAGAGCACCTGCGAGCCAATGGCTCGATGTCCTTCTGACTTGAAAGCTGAGCGCATCTAGAGAACATGGGCGGAAAATATGGAGTTTGGCATCGCGTCGGCCAGGGGTGTCCGAAAAGTGGGTGGACCCGAAAAGCCCGAAAAGCCCGAAATGCCCGAGTTGCGAGGATGTCTCGAGCGGCGGCGCCAGAGTTGCGAGGATGTCTCGAGCGGCGGGCGTCTCGGGCTTTTCGAGTTTTTCTGGCTTTTCGGGCTACGCCGGCCAGAGTTGCGAGGATGTCTCGAGCGGCGGCGAGTTGCAAGGATGTCTCGAGCGGTGGGCTTTTCGAGTTTTCTAGCTTTTCAGGCTTTTCGGGCTACGCCAGCCAGAGTTGCGAGGATGTCTCGAGGTGCGTCGCCAGAGTTGCGAGGATGTCTCGAGCGGTGGGCTTTTCGGGCTTTTCGGGCAACGCTGGCCAGAGTTGCGAGGATGTTTCGAGCGGTTGCCTTTTCGGACTTTTCAGGTTTTTCTGGCTTTTCGGGTTTTTCCGGCTTTTCGGGCTACGCCGGCCAGAGTTGCGAGGATGTCTCGAGCGGTGGGCTTTTCTGACTTTTCGGGCTTTTCTGGTTTTTCTGGTTTTTCGGGCTACGCTGACCAGAGTTGCGAGGATGTTTCGAGCGGTTGGCTTTTCGGGCTTTTCGGGTTCTTCTGGCTTATCGGGCTTTTCTGGCTTTTGTAGGTTTTCCGGGCTTTTCTGGCTTTTCGGTTTTTCTTGCTTTTCTTGCTTTTCTGGCTTTTTGGGGTTTCCTTGCTTTTCTGGCTTTTCGGGTCAATTGGATTAGCCAGAAAAAAATCAGAAAAGCCCGAAAAGCCCGAGTTGCGAGGATCTTTCTAGCGACGGCGCACGAGTTGCAAGGATGTCTCCAGCGGCGGTTTTTTTCTGGCCTTTTGGCTTTTCGGGTCTTTCGGGTCAACCTGGCGCTCATTCGGGTTATTCGGGCTACTCGAGCCCTCGTCGTCGTCGTCGTCGTCGTCGTCCGCTGGCGGCTCCTGAAAGTGCAGCCTATTCAACCCCGCGCCCCTCCCATCCGCTCCCCCACGAGTGGACAAGTTTGGATTGGAAGCGGGAGCCCCTGCTAGGAAAGGTCATCAGCTTTATGTCCCGACGCTTCCCTTCTCCCACTTGCAATGTTGGTAGGGGTCAGCACTTCGGCGAGTGCTGATCCCTACCAAAACGGGGTGTTGTGTGAGTGCATAGGCCTCTGTGGGCCTACAACGAGTGACTGGACAATTCTGGATTGGAAGCGGGCGCCCCTGCTTGGAAAGGTCATCACATTGTTGTTCCGACGCTTCTCTCCTCCCCCATTGCCGTTCTGATAGGGGGCAGCACTCCGGCGAGTGCTCCACCCGACACGACCGTTCGTCAGGGTTCGCCCGCCCGACCCGATCGCCCGTTAGAGTTACACGTGTGTGTTATTTCGAGCACTCGTCTTGCTTATGCCCCGCCCGCTCGACCAGAGTCGCCCGTTAGGATCCACCCGTCCGACCCGACTAGCCCATTACAGTTACGCGTGCGTGTTACGTCGAGCACGCGTCATACTTGAATGTCCAGCCCGCCCTGCTCGCCCGTCCGTTAGGGTCCGCATCCGATCCAACCCGCCCGTCAGGATTATACGTTCGTGTTTCTCGAGCCATGCTTTAATGTCCCGCCCGCGTGGGCTCGCCCGACCCGACCCGCCCGTTAGTGTTACGCGTGCGTCTTTTTCAACATGCGTCATACTTGAATGTCCCGCCCGCCCGACCCGACCTTCCCGATAGGGTTTGCTCGCCCGAACCGATTCGCCCGTTAGCGTTACGCGTGCCCCTCCCATCCGCTCCCCCACGAGTGGACAGGTTTGGATTGGAAGCGGGAGCCCCTGCTAGGAAAGGTCATCACATTTATGTCCCGACGCTTCCCTTCTCCCACTTGCAATGTTGGTAGGGATCAGCACTTCGGCGAATGCTGATCCCTACCAAAGGGGGGGGTTGGGTGAGTGGATTGGAAGCGGGCGCCCCTGCTTGGAAAGGTCATCACATTGTTGTTCCAACGCTTCTCTACTCTCCCTTGCCGTTCTGATAGGGATCAGCATTCCGGGCGAGTGCTCCACCCGACCCGACCGTTCGTCAGGGTTCGCCTACCCGACCCGATCGCCCGTTAGAGTTACACGTTTGTGTTATTTCGAGCATTCGTCTTGCTTATGTCCCGCCCGCTCGACCAGAGTCGCCCGTTAGGATCCACCCGTCCGACCCGACTAGCCCATTACAGTTACGCGTGCGTGTGACTTCGAGCACGCGTCATACTTGAATGTCCGGCCCGCCCTGCTCGCCCATCCGTTAGGGTCCGCCGATCCAACCCGCCCGTCAGGATTATACGTTCGTGTTTCTCGAGCGCGCATCATACTTAAATGTCCCGCCCGCGTGGGCTCGCCCGACCCGACCCGCCCGTTAGTGTTACGCGTGCGTCTTTTTCAACATGCGTCATACTTGAATGTCCCGCCCGCCCGACCCGACCTTCCCGATAGGGTTTGCTCGCCCGAACCGATTCGCCCGTTAGCGTTAC